ATATATATATATATATATATATATATAGCAGGGCTCGAAATTGCGACCATTTTGGTCGCATATGCGCCCGAAATTTTATCTATGCGACCATAAAATATTTTTGGGAGCATTTCTGCGAGTGCTTAAAATTGTTGTGTGCGACCAGTTTTTACTGCAAAATGTTCACCACATGCGCGGATTCAGGAGACATTCACGCAGAATTCATCTCTAAGCTCTTTGTTTGCACTTGGAACGGGAAACGCAGCGCTCAGGAATGGTTTTAAACAGTTGTCATGTCATCTTGCTGCAGTAAACAAATCCAAGTCCGTAATGCTTGCCCCGGCTTCGCGCTCTTCTTATTGGCCCACTGCTCTAGCACTGAACGCGAATGATTGGTTAATATCAGCTGTCAATCACTCAGTCAGCGCCTTCTGGCTTCGGATGACAGAGAGCTACTACCGCGGAAAACTAAAGCGCTAAAGATGAGATTGAAGATAACGCGGACAGATTTAGTTTTAGAAACCATCTAGTTACAAATAATGACACATCTTACTAGTGATCATGTGCTGAATGTTAATCCACCATCTACACTTTTCCAAAAGTAGAAGACTTCTGTTGGCTTCAAGTCCGCTATAAAAAGTCTGTGGGATGGAGTTTTCAGGTAACTGTTTGCCACATCTAGCACGAGAGCTTCTGTTTAATCCTTCATATAATCGCCAGATTCTGTCCGCCGTGCAAGGGGCAGCTATATGTCAAATTTAACACCACGTACACCATCGCAAACGGGCTTACACTGAGTAAATCAATATCGCTAACTTACTCATGAAAAGACCGGTATGGCTATTAACATGACGTATGCATATAATAAGGTACAATATGTGTCAAAAGCATCAGTGCAATATCAGACAGCACTTGTGAGAACAGCACAGTTAACGTTCTTTATACCGTTAACAGATTCATTCATGTCCAGCAGTGCGTGCAGGGCCGGTGAGGGCTCCGTGTATGCTTTGGTCACTCAGTTCTGTTATAAAAATCTATTTTCTTGTGATTACGGGATTTCGTTGAGACATATTTTCCTCACGCACGCATATTTATATTATTATTTTTTTGCTTGTTAGTTTGATTAGTGTTGATTTCAAATACAATAAATATGTTTGTATAAAACTTGTAGTAACGGTGCTCATAATTGGTGGGTGCGACTAAATTTTGGCTGATGCGCCTAAATTTTTAAAGTTAGGAGCACCGGTGCTACCAAGCAAAAAGGTTAATTTCGAGCCCTGTATATATATATATATATATATATATATATACACACACACACACACACACACACACACACACACACACACACACACACACACACACACACACACACACACACACACACAATATTCATTCTTGTGGGGGTTAGGGTTGTTTGATTCACCCTTGCATGTCAAGTGAAACCTACACCTTTCCTAAAACGTCAACTAAAAGTACTGTCAGTGACACTCAATGTAGTAGCAAGTAACAGCAAAGTACAATTTCAGAGTTGTTTGCTAATATAAGTTAATATATTTTGAGCATTTTAGCAGTAAGGAACTAAAAAACAGATTATTAAATTATTGGCTTGACTACAAAATTAAATCGCAAATCAAATTGAATATCTGCAATATCTTAAAAAAAAAAAAAAAAACGCAATTAGATATTAATCGCACAGCCCTACTGTAGGCTTTGCAAAGCTAATGCTGTAAAAAACAAGAGCTGCGTCCCAAATCGCATACTTATGCACTATTCTACGCCATTTTGTAGTATAAATAGTGTAAGTAGTGTGTTCACACTGAAAACTCTGGAAATAATAAGTGCACTTTAATTACCCGGATGATGCACTCATTCAGCCGGTAAAATGAAGTGTGTAACGATGGACACTTCACACACTCAACGGCTGCAGGTTTGCTCACGTAGCGGAAGAGGCGGAGCTATCGGACGCACGTGTTGAATAACTTTATTTATTTTGGATGGTGAAAGCAAAATTCTCCTACGAGAGTGATTATAGCGCCTCCCGATGGTGAATGCGGTTATACTCGCGGCAGGTATTATTTGATAATTCGGTCGTTTATTTCACTGATTTAGAAACCGTCAAACCTCATCAGGGAAACGGTTTGAATTTCCCCTTAGTAAAAAAAACATTAGTGTGCCATTTGAGACGACACTACATATATATATATATACTATCCTGTTGAGTGTGTAAGTGCATAAGTACATAGTGCATGAGGTGCATAGTGTGGCATTTGGGACGCAGCTAAGGTCTCCCTTTGCATTGAACTTTGAGCATTTTTCATTCAGAGATGTTGATTATGTTCACACAGCTACATTACACATCAACTACAGTTTAAAATATGATATCGCCAACTGAGCCGAGGTTCGAACCAGCAACCTTCTTACTGTGAGACGACAGCACTACCTACTGCGCCACTGCATCACCAACACACACCATATGGGCTCTCATATTTCTGTTGTGTCATCATCAGGTTTTCATGAACTGACCCCCATGACAAACTAATTGAATAGCCCTGCCTTAGAGTGACCATCAGCCAATCAGAATCCAGCGTTCAGCTACTATACAGTTGTATATGTATATACAGGACCATTAAATGTACCATAATGGTGACAGCATAGAGAGACAAAAGCTAATCATACATCCAAACAAGTACACAACAATAAAGCAGACTACTCACATTAATTATTTACATTTCAGTTATCATTCTAGCCAAAAAAAAAAAAGACTTACATGAAGTACTTTAAGTAGTCGAGTAAACTTAATAGTTTGACATCTAAACACGTAACTGACACTACTTAACAAATAAAATAGCAACTAAAACCTGCCACAGTTTATAAGGTGTTAAATAAAATGACTTATTACTAAACGCAAGCATGTTTCTTACCGTACTTCAGCATGTCTTTAACACTGTTTATTACACTTTTCTTCTTCTCACACACTGCTTCTTTTCCTCAAAGTGCGCGCGCATTTCATCACGTCATGATGTGTGACTCTTCCGGTTATCTCTTAAAGGAACAGTCGAACAGCCCAATCACTGATTCACAAATAAGTGATGTTATCAGAAGCCTTTACTGCTTATAGACTCAGCACACAATGCTGTCATTTGTGTTTAATTACCAGAGCATATCAGCGGAACTTTATCTCGCTCCGAGCGCCCGTTCAAAGGTTTGTTTGATATGTCAGAGCCAACATGGCGTCGCCGTGTGTCCAGTTTCACAGAGTCCGCTACGGAACTCGCTGCAGATCAGACCACTGCTGACTGACAGCGCGCACTATCATGGCGGAGGCAGGACAGGCGGAATCAGAGCAGGTAATTAGACAGCGAAACAAAAGCAGGATTTCGTGTTTTATTCTCATCTAGAATGGATTTATGATGCCTGTTTACATCTCTCCAAAAGGACATCGAGATCAAGATCCAAGAAACACGGCAGAGGTTTAAAAGCGAGTATGTTGAAGGTGAGTTAGCAGAGCGCTAAGTTCACAACTGTTTACAAGACACACTATTGAGCTTAAAATGTACCACTATTCATTCACATATTACATATAAAATGACATGTACGAGTTTAGTGGATCATGTGTGCTTTTCCGATGCTTTGTGTTTATTATTGGACATCACAGCTGTTGAATTCTACTTGTTTTCTGACAGCTAAAGTCATGTTTTTATGGTAATGTTGTTTATATTGTCATACTAGTGTGGAATAAATAGCACAAAGTTTAAAAGTTGGTCTTACAGTCTTTGCATAAACAGTTTTTTTGACATTTCTTTGTGCTTGACATATGCACTGTTAAATAGATGAAACAAGGTTAGATATACAGACAATAGACTAAAAATACTCTGGTTTTACAAATGATAGTATACTTGTGTGTTTAGTGAATAAACTAATGTATTTACTGTAAACTACTGAGGATATTTCTTCCATGTTTGAAATAAAACATTGTCATTTAAAGCTTTTTATTATTTGCATACAAAAACAAAATGTTGCCTTGATCGTATCAATGTTTTCACAAAATCCAATGCAGACAAAATGTTAAGAAATTAATTGTGTAGTGAAAAGTTTTATTTAAAATTGCTCCAAATGAAAACATTTTTCGTGTCAAAAAACTATATATTTTCCTGCACACTTTTGCATTTTGCACTTTTCTCTGACCGCTAAAGTCATGTTTTTATGATAATGTTGTTTATATGGTCATACTAGTGTGGAATAAATAGTACAAAGTGCAAAAGTTGGTCTTACAGTCTTTGCATAAACAGTTTGACATTTCTTTGACTACTTAGCATACACACTGTTATATAGATGAAACAAGGTTATATACACAGACAATAAACTAGAAAATGCTCTGGTTTTACCAATGATAGTATACTTGTGTGTTTAGCAAAACTAATGTATATACTGTAAACCACTGATGACATTTCTTCCATATTTAAATACAATATTGTCATTTCAAACTTGTTATTATTTGCATACAACAACAAAACGTTGCCATATTTGTATCAATGTTTAAACAAAATATCATGAATGTTTCAAACAAAATATTAAGAAATACATTTTTAGTAGAGTAAATGTGATTTAAAATTGCAGCAAATGAAAAAA